ATAGTACAAGGCTATCCTGAACTACATGAGAACCTAAACTACATAATGAGCCGCTCCCTCCAAGAGAAGGCGTTCCCAAGGAGTGTGCAGTTGCTAGAGATTAGTGCTATTAAAAAGATGCCAAGTAATCTACATTGGGACAGAAGACATCTTGAGAGTATCTCAGGGCTCAGCAAGACCCCATCCATCGTCAGGTCAAAAGTGTGAGTATAATGTTATTTTGGCTTTTTTTTTTCTTTAAAATGAAAAACAAAATTTATATGTATATACAAGGATAGCTGGGATAGATGTACTGCTGATGTCTGTGGTTTACTGAAAGGAACAGTCAGTGCTTAAAATTTTCTTTTGATCAGTTTTGCATGCTTGTATCTGGTAATCAGAATGACTGATTTGAAGACAATAGGCAGTAGAAGAACCATTGTTGAACTCGTACCATCTTGTATGGTGAAGCTCTGCATCATTTCCAATGTTTTTTTTATTACTTGCTACTGTTTTTGATTGATCAATCTTACATTCTTACATCTGGTGGACTGAGCAAGTTCTTTGAAGATAACTGTGTAATGTAGCAACCACTGTAAATTCCAGTCATTTTGTTTTGAGGTCATGTTTTTGTTGTTTTTGTGTTGTTTTGTCTTCATTGTTGTTTTGTTGGGTTTTCCTTCTCTTTAAAATAAAAAAATTCCACTCCATGACTTTTCCTTTGAGGACAGAGTCCCAGGGCACTCTGCCCACCCAGAACTTCCTCGTTTATCATCTCACTGGGACTTGTTTCAGCAAGTGAGTAAGGTTCTCAGTAGCCATGGTACTGGTATCATGCCTCACTGGTAAGGCACTCAGTAGCCATGGCAGCCTTGCTTCAAGTAGGACTTGGTATTGCTTATGCTGGCAGCAGATCCTCTTAGCCAGGTGAGCTGGTTTTTGGGGTACATAGAATCCAAGCTACAGTGTCATGGAGGCTTTCCCCAAGATGTGTCTTGCCTTGGTCCTATATGTCCTTTTATTTCTTATTCCAACTTTTTGGAATGGGAATGTTTACCCAGTACCTTTTTACTTTTTTTTTTTAGGTGGTGGGGGAGCCTCACTTTGAGGCCCAGGCTGGCAACTCACTGCAATCCTCCTGTCTCAGCCCTGGGATTATAGGAGTATGCTATTGTACCCAGTTGCCATGATATTTTTGAAGTATGTAACTTTCTTCTTGATTTTTGCAGGGGCTCACAGCTGCATTTGCCTCTTGAGTAATGATGAACTGTTGAGACTTTACAGACTCTTTGGAAATGGATTAAATGCATTTTACTTTGAGGGACATAAACCAATGGGCCAGTCATAGAATGCTATGTTTTGAATCTTGAATGTCCTCCAAAAGGCCCATGTGTTCAAGGTTTGCTCCTCAGCCCATGATGCAACTAGAACCTTTCAGAGGTGGAGCCTGTGGGAGGGGTTAGGTCCCTAGAGACATTTCCTTGAAGGGATCTTGGGCCTCATTCCCTTCTTGCCTCTGGGTCATCATAAGGTGAGCATCTTCCTTTGCCGTGCACACCTGAAATGATGTACTAAGCCCAAAGGCAACAGGGCCAAGTGATCATGGTCTGAAATCTCTGAAACTGGGCCAAAATGAACCTTTCCTTCTCCTGTTGATTTTTAGATATTTTGTCACAGTAACGAAAGCTAACATGGGGTCTTTCTGCTTGCTTTCAGGATTTGCTTTTAATTTGGTTTTCTAGGGAATGTTGTCTTTTAGTGTGCTGAGTTTATTGTGCTTTTGAAGCACCTTTCATTTTTAAAATTACTCTTTTATCTTGCTGTTGGGATATACTGTCAGATCTCTAATTGTCCAATAAGGTATTAAACCTACCCAGTTAATTTTTCATTTTCTATGTTGTATTTTTCAGTTCCAGAAGTATACTTCTCATCTTTCTGCTGTGAAACTAATTATGTTGAGCTTTTCCTTTAAATCCTTGGAGATAATTATGTAGACGTTGCCTAATTGTTGCTTGGTAATTCTATCTGGGACTTCTCTAAGTTCTATTCTTTTTCTCCTGATTATGGTTCATATTTTTATGTATTCTACATGTAGTAAAGTATTATTGTTTGCTGAACACTGCAAGGGCTATGTTCAATGGACTCCAGGTTTTACTGTATTTCTTCAGTTTTCTACCAGTTAATTTGTTGGTGGTCGAACTTAATCATGTCATGATTTTTAAGACTTTGGTTTAGAGTTAAATACAATCTTATATTGTGGACTTTATAAAGTCTGGGTTGTTTTCCTTTCCTTATGTATTATGATAGCTTTTTTAGCTTTCCTTGTTTTGTTTGTTTCTTCAAGACAAGGTCTTGCAGTGTAGCGCTAGCTGGCCCTAACTCACATTCCTGTGGCCTTCCTCTCCCAAGTACCAGGACTTATTTTCTGGTGCCTCATATATATGTTGTTATATCTTCATATACTTCGCCTGTTTTGTATTTATTTCAGCTTTGAGGGCAGGTCTAGGTCTGGTAACCATTACTTGTGGCCAGAGTAGAAGTGGTATTGATATTTTCCATAGTTCCCCAGTTGGTTCTAATGTGCATTAAAGGTTATTCTGCTTTAATGACGGGTTTCTTTACAGCAGTACTATTGGCATTTGGGGCTGGTTTATTACTCATTGTGCAGTGGCTGTCCTGTGTGCTGTAAGGTGCTCAGGACTTATCCACTAGATGCCAGTAGTCTCTCCTCCCAGATGTGATAACACAAAATGTTTCCAGAAATGGTTAAATGGCTTGGGTGGAGCAAACTCAACCCAGGTTGAGAGCCCGTACTCTAGCAGAAGAGATTATCGCTTTGCCTTAAACCTCTGCTACTCAATGCATGGTGTAGCATAGAATCTCAGCCCCATCTCCCATCTGAGATCTGCATTTTAACAAGGTTCAAATGATCTATAAGCTTTTTCACATTTGACCAGGGCCCAGCAACACTCACTCTGAGTTTAGGTAGTGTTTTTTTGTTTTGTTTTTTATCAGAACTGTTTGACTCTACTAATTTAGTGAAAAAGCAGCTACAGAAAATATGTACAGATGTGGCTGTGTTCCAATAAAACTTTATTTACAAAAGATGCATGTTATTAGACTGTCTTTCCCCCCTCAGACCTCTCAATGGACTAAAGATAACAGATGGTTAAATTCTTTTACATGTACCTTCCCACTGAATTTCAGTGGTTGCTGCTAAAAGACAAGTTATATGGATTAAGTAGCGGATGATTCTTGAAATATCAGTAGGTGATATTTCTATTAAGTAGGTGATGATATCTTTACTTCCACAAATAAGTTACATGTAAATGCTGCTAAACTTACCAGTGGTTCTCCGTCTTTATGTATGATTTGATGGCACAGTTCTCTTACTCTGTGTGAAAATGATTTATGGGTATACTGGAATATTTATTCATTTATTTTGCCTCTAGTGAATAAAGCTTATAGAACTTTAGGAAAATTACATTTGTGTGACTTTCTTAACTCTCAGACAGTAGAGACTAGTTACTTGACTCTCAAATAATTTATTTCTTTTTAATAGGAAAGCTAAAGAGCCTTCAAAATATCTCTCATTTGTTTTGTGTGTCTTATGCCCTTCTAAAACTTTGTAATCTAAAATTGACTCTTGTCGGGGAATAGTGTGTCTGAAGAGTCACAGTTTAAAGGCTGATTTTTTGCTGTTGTCTGAATAGGGATGGTATTGCACCAGATGTTTCTGGAAGAAACTAACAATGAAGATTTACTTTCTTTTGTAATAGTCCTTTTTTAATTACTTGCTAAGTGGTACACAAGAGAAGGCATGTCAGAATCACAAAAGTGAAGCAGGAACAAAACAACTCGTGACTCAACCAGGGAAGCAAAAAGGAGAAAGGTCACTCTTCAGTCTTTGGCCAACAGAAATAACAGTGAAAACACTGCAGCAGCTCATGAAGCCCACACTGACGTAACCAGTCAATTTGTTTTCAATTTGTTTTACATTAGTATCTATTCAGTCCATAGTGGTTAGTCTGAGCCTATACAGCTCTCCAAGAGACTTGTTTTTTTTTTTCTGGTACTGGGAATTGAACTCACGACCTTGCGCTTGCCAGGCAGGCACTGTGCCGCTGAGCTAAAGCCCCAGCCCCTTCTCCAAGAGGCTTGACACAATACCACTGGTGAGGTTTTCCCTGGCAGTATACAAGGCATGAGTGAAAAATATGGTACATGTGAAAATATTAATTAAAGTAAAAGATACATTGGCATTAATCTCCCTCAAAATACTCCCTCTCACTTCAAACACACTTGTCCCATCATGCTTGTCACACTCTGAAGCAGTTGTAGAAGTCTTATTTCTATCTTCAGCCATGCTGTAATGGCTGCCTTCATGTCCTGCATGAATTTAAACATTTGTATTTCATGGTACTTTGGACTCTGGGGAAGAGCTAGAATTCACATGATACCGTGAGGAAGATGGACAGCACTGCACAGCAAGATTCACTGTATTTTTTATCATACCTGTTGAAGCTAGGAAAGAGGACTTCTGGAACTGCTACAGAATGTGGGAAGAATGATGGGCTAAGGGTATTCAAAGGAAGGGGAGTGGGGTATTTATGGCAGTGTATCTTTCATTATAATTGCTTTTTAAAAAATATTTCATCATTCATCATATATTTTGATCACACCTTGTATAGCATCGATTTTGATCCCTCCTTATCCTTTACTCAATACAAAGCAGAGTCATTTCTGAGTTGTCATTATGTGCAAAAGGTTAATAGTACTTATATAATGATCAAAAGCTTTCTAATCATGGCTGTCTTACCCCCCTGAGACTTAGCCTTTTATAATCTTGCCAAGAGAATTCAGTTTTCATATTCTATTCTGTTTTTAGATTATAAATTTACATGGCTGAAAAGAACCAACCAAATGAGCCAGATCTGTTTGTTAAATTTTGTTTAGCATTCTTAACAGTACAGAAAATAGTTCAGTAACTCAAACCTAACAAACTGTGTTTTTTTCCATAGGGAAGCACAAGAAGGCGACAGAAATACCATGAGTCTTCAGAACTTCTGAATGAAGTAAACAGTTTCCCCCTCAAATCTAGCTATACATACTTCCCACAGTCACTTTATGAACCCTATCAAGATTTTACCAGTCCAGATAAGATCACCAAGTCGCAGTCTCCACCTTGGTATGTGTACACTTCCACAACTGGTATGGAACTCGCAGACTTACAAAGTTCTGCAGGATTTTGGTCTACAATTTCCCAGTTTACTCTGACTGAAGAGACAAAGGCAGATGTATACTTCTACAGCTCCATCATATTTTTGCTTCTGATACTGGTATGTCTTGCTCTATATTTTCTTTGAAAGTATCAAATAAAATTCTTCTGGTAGTTTTTGAAGTTTCCAGCTCTTCATAGAAATGTTATGTACTTATTTCAGGGTTTCCTTCCAGACATTTTCAAGGTAATTGGCTTTAAAAAAGAAAATATATTTTAACAAAGTTTGTGAGCACTCTAAAAATTTTTCTTTACACTAGAAACAGTGTCACTATAATTTGGAACATACTTTTCTGAAGTTTCAGGTCAAGTAGGAAATTTAGAAAAGCAGTTAAATGTCTTTGATCAAACAGACAATTTAAAAATTCAAATCATACTGATGAGAATAATTTGTCTTAGAGGAACTTATGTTCTCACTACTTTGTTTAAATACAGATAATACATGTTTCAAAAAGTTTTAAATAAACCAATCTGTATAGATTATCTTTTAAACCACGTCACTAAGTTCCAGACGCATTTTATGAAGTGTGATCAGTAATTTGCTTACCTTACTACAGTATGGACATTCACCAAATATGACGTTAAAACTCTGTCTACTGGTGGGGAGTCCTCTCAGCCACTGAAGGGTTTAAGCAGCAGCAGCATCAGTACCAGTAAAATCACAGACACTCCAAAAACCATTTCCTGTCTTTTTTACTGCATTATATTTTTATTCCAGATTTACTTTCCTACACGTATTTTGTGAGAGTAATGGATATATTTTCTGAGCCAATGCCAGGTTATTATTATGTTGAATAATGAAGAGAAATGAACCTGGAATTCGAAGTATAAACCACTAAACTAAAAGCAAATTAAGAAAATAACAGCAATTGTATTTTCTTTACCCCCTAAACAGACATATACCAAGACATACAAATTTCTGGGTTCATATACCATCCCTAAGTCCACTACACAGCAAGAACTCCTCCAATAAAATATACCTTATGGCTTTTGTAAAGTTAGGTCTTTTCTGGTCTTAATCACCAACATGAGATTAATTCTCAGTTCACTGGTTACAAGCAGAAGGCAGTTTTTAAATATTAATACACATTATTACAAAAGAAAGCAAATTACCTCAGAGTTCTGCAATTCGCTAAGGTCTTTTGTGATTTTATATAAAGTAACCTGATACCTATCTTCAGTTCTGCAATGCTGAAGTACACAGAGCATTAAGCTGCCATCATTAATCACAAAGGGCAAGAGGTGACTAAGGAAGACTGAAAACTGAGAAACTCTAACATGGCAACGTGTTTTATAATCACATCAGCTCTGCCCTACGATGTGCGCTACACAGAGCACGTGATCAAAACCAGCAGTGAAAGCAAACTTCACGTATAGTAACTAAATAAAAGCGCTGCCTAAGAGCGCTGTGAAATGTTCAGATCAGAAAAGTACTCTGAATATCAGGAGTAGGTGACTGCATTTACTCTGTACTTACCTATAGTCTAAAGAGTCAGAGATGCTACCTACGTGCTCAGTCCTTTGCCCTGCACCATCTGCCACCACCCCAGCTGGATGACTCTACAGTTTGCACTGTAGTTACACAAGACATTTATGGAAAGATCCGGTGTATCATAACTTTGTGTGGTCTGCAACAAGGCAGTCCCGTGTACAGTCTGGGTGCTCTTGGACATTTCTTCACTAGTTAGTAACGGTAAAGAAGAAATGAAGCACACAAGCTTCTACAGTACTGGTAAAAGGAGTTCACTGTAAATGAGGGAGTAAACGGATCTGAAGTTCTATGTATTTCAAATATGCATACTTCCATGTTTTAGCTGAAAATGGCCCTAAGTTTTTTTTTAATTTTACTGTTACCTCATATAAGCACATTTGATGAAAAGGCTGTCCACACTGGGGATTATTGCACACTTGATCAGGAATGGCGCCATCAAGCTGATAGGCATAACAAATTCCACAATCCATAGTAAGATCCTTCAAAACAAAAATGTTTATAAGCATATTTCTTTAAAATGTAGATCAGGAAGAACAAAAGATACAGACCAGTGGTGGGAAAGCTATGGCATGTGTGTTGTTTTTCTCTTAAGACGAAAGGTGTTAATGTATAAAGTGTTTTTTTTAAAACTAAAAACCTCAGTATTCAGGTTTAATTGCAGGGTTGGCATGTTGTAATAAATAAGTGGGTTGTGGGTTGCAGTTTGAGCACCTGACTCTAAAAGGTTGGCTATGACTGACATAAACAATATTAAATTTTTATAAATGTAGTTTTTATAAAAGTACCTATTGCTATATTGTAGAAAATATAATTATACCACTATTCAACACCTAGAAAACTACTCATCAGAATGTTTGCTTTTTCACTCAAATATACACAGATATATACATAAATATACTAAATTTCATTTTTGGCTGGCAACATTTTGGGGCATTGGTGTTTTGTCCATATACATAAATGTCGTGGCCATGTAGTATGTACAGATAGGAACTGAAAATAAGGTAGGGATTACAAAACTTCAAAACTGTGCAACCTTAGCAACTCTGTCAAAAATCAGTTGCACTTTTATTATCTTTGCAATAATAGTTTCTATTCATTTTTGAAAAGCTGTACGTCCTCCTTCACAAACACTTACATCAAGCTAATTAGAACTTTATTTCAGTCATCCATAATAGACGGTACAGAAAATCCAAACATTTAATTAGCTACTTGGTTATTAATAAGTATGTCATTAATCACTTTGTTGTTCAAAACCATGAAAAAGGTACACTTAAAAACGTCAGTCAGAGGGTAACAAGATCTCTGACGAAACCATCCCTTGCAGTTCAGAGGGCTGTGCTACAACATTCCTCCAATTCCCTTCTTTTCCAGCCTTACTCTTCTGAGAGAAGCATTTACATTTCACTATGCGAAGTACCAAAGTGCTGACAAAACTTACAGATTTTTCCAAGACAGTACGAGCTGGAAAATCAATTTCTAGAACATCTTTCAAATTTTGTAATAGACTATATTCTGGATCCCTGAAAAAATAAGAAAAAAAATTCTGTTACATTTTGTAAAATCATCGAAAAGTAACAATTATATTGCCAAGGTACCTACCATAAATGCATATTTCTGCTCAGCTTAAATCCCAAGGGTTTTACAACTTCATATATTAAAAAGAAAAAAAAAAGTTTAAAGTTAGCATTTTTTTTTATCTCATTCTGTAAAGGAACATTTGGTATGTAATCTGTTTCTTAATTAGTTGATTTGAAAATCTAAATCAAATGTTAAAACTATACAGCTGAGTGAGACATTTTACCTACCAATATTTAACAACAATTGACAAGGATTTTATGAATAATAATACCTACTAATATTTAACAACAATTGACAAGGATTTTATGATTCTATTAAAAATATTAGTTCTGAGATCTTGTACCATGGTCAGCTCCAAGAAAGCAGCATTCGGGAAGCATAGTAGGATGCCTAGGGTCTACCTCTATGTTTATGGAGGCATTATTCCCTAGAATGAAAGAAAATTAATTTTTTTTATTTTAAAGAATAATAACACAAGAAAAATAGCAAAATAACAACAACATAGACAAAAATAAAAAAAGCAAACACAAGAATGATACAGGGTTTTAAAACAAAATGACAAAAATTAACATTAGTTGTTATATTACATACTTTTATCTTCAACGAAGTTGCTCAGATTAACAGATGTGAGGATGCCTTACATTTTTCACAAGTGGAAGAGTCATCAAACAAGCCAAAGAGAAAAAAAGGAACGTTGTCTAGCTGCCAGTTTTATTGTTTGCCCAAGACTGATTGAACCAAATGTTTTATAAATACCTTTTGTGAAGGGAACTATATCAGCATAACAAAAGAATTTTGAAATTATGATTATCACTAAAGATTCAGGGTTCTAAAAAGCAAAGAAAGTTAAGGAATTAATAAGATTAAGTTGGGATTCTGGTCATTGCTATTACAGTAAAGTTTAAATAAAAATGTCCTATAATGATGAAGACTCAATATAAAAAAATTTAAGAAGAAATAATGACTGGCTGGATAGGTGGTGCATGCCTGTAATCCTAGCTGTTTTGGACAATGAGGGAGGGCAAGTGCGAGGAGGACAGACTGGACAAATGAAGAAGACTGTCTGAAATAAAGAGCGGGAATGTACCTCCATGGGAGAGTGTTTGCCAAGAGTGCACCAGCCCTTTGTTCAATCTTTATTACCGCTACTAAAAAAAATTTAAAAGTGTAGTAACGATCTAACCTATTTTCATGGCTTTCTTAAAAAAACAAATAGGTCAGATGTAAAGACTACAGTAAATGGTAAAAATAAACATTTAAACTTTATGAAAATTTATAAAAACACAAGTTCTTTCGCTGTATATGAAGCTTTCCCTTGAAAATTGTTCATTTACTAATACAAACAGTCTGTTTTGCAGAATCTAAAAAAAGCTATTCCTGTTTTTCAATTCTTCACTGGATTCAAAGTTGTAATTGTACAGGGCTATAGTACAAATTTCAAAAACTGTATTATTTTGAGAAGGTACTTAGTATAACTAAGATCAATTAGCTCTTTACTTTTATGGGGAAAATGTCCTGATAACTCCTATATGTTGTTAAATATGCCTCTGCTGAAGTTATTGAAGATAATATAAAATATTATAAACATAAACAGAATTATTACAAATCTGGCAAAAATTTATCAGTGTATATCCATTCAATGAAAATATAATAAAATTCAAAAATACAACCTCATTTGTTCATATATTCTTTGCTATAATCATATATATCTTTCAGCCCTTAGCCATGTCATCTATTACTAATGCCTTTAGAAAGTACTTTCACTTAATTGATGGCTACATTAATTAATCTTTCAATTAATTGGTTCAAAATTTGGTCCTAATGTGGTAAATCAATGCCTGAAAGAGAGTGGGGGAGTAATGGTAAATATAAGGACAAATAACAACTAGACAGTTTATGTTGGATAAGAAATATAATGAAAAGTATATTTTAAGGCTAATTATAGTATTTTAATGAGGCCATGAAAATAATAAATTACATTTCTTTGTTGAAAATATTTTCAATCTTAATATCTACTTGTTCACAAATGTATCATAATTTGATTAATTA